GTTTCGAAAGTCTTTCGTCTTCAGGCGGAAGACTTTCAAAACATCGTTCTCTACATTTGTAAATTTCTACAACAGGCAGTTGCTGTCCGTTTGAAACTTAGATTCATTATGAATACTCTGCCTAAACAACCTATCAAAGATTACATAAACTGTTTATTGTTTATTTTCATGTAATTTATTTTATGTACATTAAATTAATAAAATTCATTGTTTGAAGTTAAGAATTTTTTTTAAAATCAATTGGCAATATTTGACTAACCAGTTGCCTTGACATTGTTCTAGGCTAATATACACCCAACACTTTTTTTAAGTCAATCAAAATAATAAATATCTATAATATTAATATGCCTTTGGTACAGCTAATCACAAACAACAACAGTGTTTAGTTAAACATAAATACTTGTGTGGGAAGATGTTGAGTACTGAAGGTGTTATAACTCAAAATGTGTTATGCTGAAAGTGTTATAACTTGGAAGTACCTGTTGAGTGGGCAAAAACATATTTCAATATAAAGAAGTGTGATCTGATAAAGATGGGTTTGGAAATTTCGAACATATTTCTTGTGTGAGAGGCAGATTTGTTAAAAAAAAGGACAGGACTTATGTAAGATTAATGATAAAATCTTTCAGTAAGTTGCATTTTCACTAATAGCGAACTGTGATGAAAAGGCTTACTTGATTTCTGATATGGTACATTACCTCCCCTTACATAAATAGCTATTCTCCTTCAGTGCTGTCCTCTATATGCAAAAATATTTTTTACGCATGCCACAAGCCTTGAAACTCCCACCCACTTGGAATTGACTATGCAAATTATAATGTGACAACCCTCCACCAATAAGAGCATCACACACACTCTCGATGCATGACTCCCTCTATTCAATTCTACTGATCTATCACTTCTCATTTGGCAGTACTCGTGTCAAGACATTTTTTTGTTTTTGGTGCTCTTCATATGATTTGCAAACATGAATTTTGTTAGTTTAGTTGACTTTTTCATTATTTTTGTTGTCTATATAATTTGTGGAAGAATTTATTAGTTAACTTCATTTCCCAGTTCTTTTTTTTTTCTCTCTGTCTACTTTTTTTTTACGTCAAAAGCATTTGTTTGATTTATATTTCAACTCTGAATTCTGAAGTTAATATTACCACTTTGGGTATCATGAGGTTAATATTACCACTTTGGGTATCATGAGGTTCATATTACCACTTTGGGTATCATGAGGTTAATATTACCACTTTGAATATCATGAGGTTAATATTACCACTTTGGGTATCATACCTCCTACTAGCACTATTTCACAGGTGGAGGAGACCCATCGTTGGATTTGTCTGGATTATCCAGTGAGAAATTGATCATTATATGTGTCAACCTTCTCCTGTACTTGCCCCATTTCCTCCTGTTCAAACCGATGACGATTTTGATACCCTTTTTCCATTACTGGATTTTGCTGTGTCTTCCGATGCCCCACCTGTGGAATCAGATAGGCCTAATATGGCATTTTTAGACATGATTTCTCGGGTATGTGATGTTTTATCCATTTCCCCAATTTCCTATGATCCCCATCCCTCTATGTTGCAGGATAGTTCTTCCTCTCCGTATTTAGTTTTTCCACCCTCCTCGGATATTAGGGTTCATGCTGAGCAATTTTTTTCATAATTGATTGATGGTGCCAGCATGCCTCACCCTCCATGGGCTATGAACCAGTTTGCATTAGCTTACCATCAGACTGACTGCCCCTCTTCTCGACTTTCATCAGTTGGAATTTAATTTATCTGTGTGGTCAGGTGGTACCTGATTTTCCAATGCCCAGTTTCTCGCCTTCGTCTTACCCTTACTTTCCTTCTCTGGTATTTGTGTACAATCCTTCTCCTTTCAGAGGCGATCCGCACAGATCCTGAGGGTTTTTCAAGTGAAAGCCTCTCCCTTATTACCTCCATGTTGGCTAGATTGTCATCTTCGGCTCTTGCTTTACACACATGGTTTCTCTGTTGTCAGAATCTTCTGAGTTGAAATGAGACCTTGTCCCAGGTTTATTTCCCATCCCCTTATCTTAGGGATTTAGAAATACCCCCATTTCTTCTGCGGTGTGTTTTTGGACTTAGGAATCACGTGTGGAGTATGTGCATCAACACTCGACCCTGTCCTCTTTGGTTGCACATTTATCAGAGCCCAGACAAGCCCCTATTCCTGTTTTACATCCTAGTCCTTCTCAGCCTTTACCTGTTCCTCCTCTCATCCTTTTATTTGACAATGATGGGCACATTGCCAACAGTACCAGTGACTACTTGGTGGGTTCCAGTCCAATGGGAGCTCATTTGTCCAAATTTGTTCCTATTTGGCAACTTTTTGTCACAGATCTGTGGGTTATTCAGGTTTTATCTGAGGGACTTGTCCTAAAATTTCTCCCCC